AAGACACATGTTCTTACAGGCATAATAGACATTTCCTAAGTGCTGCGAAGAGATAAAATACAAAATATTTCAGCCACTGCCACGCCAGGTTAGATCTGCTTCTGCGTAGCTGAAGCATCTTAGCAAAATTCATACTGCCAATCTCCTAAGCTATAAGCAAATGTTCTCAAGCAGTACTAAATATATAGAACTGGACCATATTTATTTGACCCAGTTCTCATCTTTACATGCATGGCAGCCACTAGGGCAACACCTCTCCAGGCATACCAGTGTCCAAAAGGGTAACCTCATTTCCTAGGAGACACTTAAATTTATGCATAGGTGGAAGGGGAGAGTTACTGAGAGGCAGAGGGAGAGACTATTGCATAGACAGTACAGGAGTAATCAGAGAAGAAAAATTTATCAGGCATATTTTTCCAGGCATTCAGTATAAAAGAATGGAAAGAATTTAACACATATTAAGTACCTACTAAGTGCCAAGAAATGCACTAGGTGCTTTCTGTTTATTTAACCTTTTAAAGCTCAAAATGCAGGGGGCTGGCTGGTTAGCTCAGTTGGCTGGAGTATGGTGTTATAACAGCAAGGTCAAGAGTTTGGATCCCCTTACTGGCCAGTTGCCAAAAAAAAAAAACAAAACTAAATAACTATAATAAAGCTCAAAAGACATATTTAAGGTCAATATTAGTAATGCATTTAGAAATGAGCAAACTGAAGTTTAGACATAACAAAGCCAATGAATGAAACAGAATTGTTGTCATGGAAATTTAATCGGCCTCTATTCATTCAACAAATACTTTTTAAGCACATTCTATATGCTCAGTACCGGCAATGGATCGCAACCCTCAGTGTTGCGCCAGTACCAGACCGGGACCGGCAACGGGATCGCAACCCTCGGTGTTGCCCCGCACCTCGCTCAGCCAGCGAGCGGCCAGGCTGTATGTGGGATCCGAACCCTCGGCGGGAGCGCCGCCGCACTCCCAAGCGGTGCACTGTAGCAGTGCGCCACCGGGCCGGCCCCCAAAACATTGAGTTTCTGATATGCTTCATTATCTAAAAGATCAAGAAAATATTAACTAAAAGATAAGAGAATTTGAATTGATTCATTCATTTTAAGTTAACTATTGTTTGGTAGTGGTAGCAGCACTTTAACTAGAATTTTCTCCACTACATCTTTTTTTTTTTTTTTTTTAATCTTTAGGCACTTTGTTACAAGGTTGAAAAGTACAAAATGTGCTATCAAAATTATCCATTCCTGAGGTTTCTGATGGCTCCCATGAAGCTATCAACACTATTTGGTAAACGTTCTGTGACTCTGCTTGGATGGTGACTCTCCACATAGTATGGTGGGTGGAGGCACAGACTGTGGAAGCCAGCTGCCTGGATCAAATCCTGATTTGCCACTTACTAGGTGTGTGGCTTGATTTCTCTGTGTCTCAGTTTCCTCATCTGTAAAATGGAGATGATAACGGTACTTACGACACAGAGCTGCTATGATTCAATGAATGAACACATTTAAAGCACTTAGAAACAATGTCTGAAACATGTTGAATACTATGTATTTGCTAGTTTGCTGTTGCTAAATTACTACTGAATATCACAAGAAGCCAAGTTTCACTGGGAATCATTCTTAAGGCAATAGGCAAAGGAAAGAACGTTAGTCACATTTCATTCAAATGTCACTAGCAGGAAAGGTCACCTGCTAACAATTGGGAAATTTCCAAATGTTTGTTCCTTTGATGCCATATGTAAGAAAACAGTGAGGCAATGTGGCCTCAGCAAACTAATTACCAAAACAATTGCCCTGGGTTTTTAAAGTCAATAATCCAAAATTATATCTTACAATTTTAACATCTTCTATAAACATCTGTAGTTGAGAATCTTTTTTCCTTTGGAATTAAGATGGCCTAACTTAAAACAAAAACAACATACATTACCTTCTCATGCCATCTGAACTGTACCCAAATAGTGTTATAAACCACCTACCATGTGAAATAAGTTCATTTTTATGAAGTTTTAACAACGCAATCACTCCCTTAAACTGCCATGTGAAATCACTTTATTTTTATGAAGTTTTAGCAACATAATCACTCCCTCAAAATGCTACCTACATTATTTTTATACAGGAGGAATTATTATCTACTTCCTAGACATTTGCAGTCTATAAAGCATGTATTATAAGTTAAAATTTTACCATTCATTTATTTAATTCTGTTATTGTTTGATCCTCAGTGAAGTTCCATCTGAGATTACAAGATAGCCATTTTCCTACGCACTCTGCCAAATTTTTTTGAACAAATGTTCTGAAATACTGTGAGATTTTTTAATCGAATGAATGAAAAGAAAATCTCTACAAAAATATTACAAACTAGTTTGTATGTACATAATAATCTCCATTTCAGTATAGCTAATAAGATTCCGTGAGTATACTGGTTCTAACCTAAAGTGACAAAAATTTTACTGGACTTACTAAGTTGGTCAATCAATTGATTAGTGAACTCTGTCACTTCGCCCTTATGGTATTTAAAGTAGCTAGAAAAATTCAATACAAGATAATACCAGAGCAACCACATAACCTAATAGCCTTTGTAAAAAATGATGGGTATTTGAGCAGGTTAGGTAAATACACTGCTGTACTCCATAAGAACCACAACTAAAGGTGATACAATATGGTACCTCTGATAACTATAAATCTTTTAAAAATATCATGTTGTACATACCAGAAGGTGGACATAATTGTTTTCGATAAGTAAATGTGGGATTTATTTGCAAGACAACGTGATTAAGTATTCGTATCTACAGTTGCTCTTCCTATACTTAGTGGCTATACCAGGATCATCAAAAGGCTTGATCTCAGCTGATTTTCCAAGCTATTCTACATAACTCTGTCAACAGGAGACCATTTCTCTTATGAGACCACGCCCCTGAGCTTCAATGATTATATCGGAGTAACTCTCCCAGCCATGTCCGACACTCTCCATGTCATGTAGCTGCCTTGCCTGAAAGCTCAGATTATGGAGTTTAAGGGAAGCTCCATATTTTATATCCTAACTGATCACTGATTGGCCAAGCACTATTTATGGAGCTCTTTATGTAAAAAGCATGGTGCTAGCTTGAGAAGGAATATGAAATTCTATAATACAGTCCCAACTACCTCGCTGGAAAGACAAGTTATTTATTTACTTATTTCTGGAGGCTGGCCAGTACAGGGATCAAACTCTGGACATTGTTGTTATCAGCACCATGCTCTAACCAACTTGAGCAACCAGCAGACTGGGAAAGACAAGTTAAATACATGTGCATCAGGGTGTTCTGGTTGATCCAACCTGAGAGTGAACAGATAACAGTTCTTCATGATACTATTACTCCACTCCAGGGTTTAATTTGCATGAATATTTGTATTCGTGCAAATTCAAGGAAGGGCAGGGAACAGAAAGCTCTGGCTGGGTTCGGAATCCATGTCTACCCACTATTTATCAGCTGTGTGTACCTCTGAGTAAGTAGTATTTACTTTAAACTCCAATGTCTTTTTTTTTAACACAAGGATAATAATAGTATATACTTTCTAATGTTATAAGAAGAATAAAATTAGATAGTAAATGTAAAGTGCTTTGCATAGTGTCTGACACCTAATAAGTAAACAATAAATGTTGGTTACTTGAGGAAGTAGTTTTCCAAGTGCCAGTTTCCCCCTTAGTAGAATGAAGATACAACCTGAAGCTAAAGAAATTGCTTATAGGCGAACTTTGTGGGACTTGAGATTTGAGGCTGAATGCTATGAATCTCAATCATATATGAGCAGGCTGGTAGGTCTGATGACATCTGCTTCATTCATATACATATACAATAACAATATAAGGTAGAGTATGCTAATAAAGGGCAAATAAAGTAGTCAAGATAATGGACACTGTGAACCTTAGGGAAGGAAGAGATCATCGTGAGCTAGAGTGTTCAAAGATCTAGAACATCAACTGACCATTGCAGACTGGTGGAGGTTGAGCTGTCTATGGAGGGTCTTTTGAGTAGGAAAAACAGGGAAGCCAAGGTATGGAGAAAGCATATGCATGGGGTTCTGGGGACAATGACTAGAATGGAGGTGGGTGGGTGGTGTGTGCAAAGGAATAGTGGGAAAAAAGGTGAGAAAACGAGCGTGGGGTCATATGAGAATGGCTGAAGTACCTGGATTTGGTCCTGCAGGTGATGGGGAACTAGAGAAAAAAGATTTTGATGTGGGAAACCTATAGTGAAATTAGTGATTGATAAGACTAATCTGGCTTCACATGTGGTATAGAATATAAGAAATGCATATGAATATGTGAACATGGTTAGGAGACTCTTCACAGATGAAGGGGTCAGCAATGTGATATAATATTATACTGGCATAACTTTACTTGCTATTTCCTAAAATAGCATTCACAGGGGAAAAAAATCTAATTAAGAGAAGTATGTTCTTCTCTTAATTTCCATTCATAATTTTCTCATGATTATTTCTCCATGCCCCCTTGGATATGGCTGTAAGCCACAGCTTTCTTGTTTATAAGTTGCATAAGCACTGTTCATGATACACTAACATTTCTGGTGTTGCTCTAATGCAATCTTTGTCTCTCTCCTGTCTCTCCCTTCCCTCTCCCCTCTCTTTCCTCTCTCTCTCTCCTTGGGTCCAATTTAGACCTGTGCTTTGGAAATATAACTGCATTCCTATGAAACTGTCTTAGGCATTTCAAATGCTGCATATGGATACATTTCCATATAATGGTAGTTGTGATAGAACAGTGTCATATAAAAATATTGTTTTCCCTCATTCAGAGTTCCTGAAAAAAAAAGTTCAAATAGATAGGTAGGTAAAGCGACTCAATATTTTGCCAGCTGCTAATCCTGCTGACTATGGATACATGCAGTTGGTTTACATTCTTCTGCCAATATTTGAGTAGAAAAACAAACTTTCATTCAACTGGAGCAATGACTAGGTTTTTTAAGGACATTCTTATACTACAAATACTCACTTGAGCTCTTCAGCAAGATTCTCAGTAAAAGACCATCATGATGCAGTAGGGTTTCCAGAAGCAGGTTCCAATTACAGCTTGGCTGGGATAAGAGCAGTTTCAATTGACCCTCAGCCTTCAATCCTCCAGCTGATGGAGTCCTTTCAAAATGCAAGATAAAGATGGAGTAATGAAGTTAATTTATCTATGAAATTAATAGCCTTAAAGTACAGATGTAATGCTAACTCCTTTAAATGTCAATTCCTCCCAGATTATTCTGAAATGCTTTCATGCTTACTTACTTTAGTGTTGCTCAGGGAAGGAATTACATTTAATCTCAACTAGCTAAAAGCAAATTAACATTTGGTAGCCTCCCAAATTTAAAACTGATACAAAATAATCATGCTTATATTTCATGGAACTTTGTTTTTGTTTCATGGGGGAAAAATCATGTACGCATTTATTTTGAATGCATTCACTTATTTATTCACCAAATACATAATGAATGCCTACTATGTGCTATTAACTCCTTTCATTATTCATGGAAAGAAGTTCAAATAGGTTCTGGCTATGTTCTACGAATGCTGATAAAATTAAAGGAATTCAAAGCTTCTGTCAAGGGTCAACTGTAATCTAATTATTTAATATGTAAAGCCTTAAATCAACATACGGTTATCAGAATTGCTGCTAAAAGACAGACTGCTACCTACTTGGGTAATCATTTCATCAAAGATACATAATTCCAAGGCAAATAAGCTTCTACTTGCAAAATTATCATCAGTGTTGAACAGAAAATCGAAATCAGGTCCCCCACATCACCACTTTCATTTGCCAATGAATCAGCAGAAGATCAGAAAGTACAGTAGGAATTGAAAGCTGATAACATTATTTACCTTTTTTCCTTCTAAAATCTCAAAATTTAGGTTGGCTAAAGGTCACGACATGGGAAATCAGCTTGGAACAACAACAAAACAAAAAGGCAGGAAATGGTCAAACTCTATCTGGTGGCAGCCACAAGGATTATGGGAAGAGGGTGGCATTGGCAAGGAAAGGTGTGACTGAGTGATGTAGAAGTGTGAATGAGCATGAGATGCCTCAGAGCAGAAAACAATGCAGAGCAAAGGGTGTTGCTGAGAGAGACAACTGACGGCGTTATCATTAGTGGATGCAATTTACCAAGTGGTGAGCCAGCCAGTTATCAACACAGCCTAGACCAGTGATTTCAAAGCTTGGGCCCCAGACCAGCAACATCAGCATCCTTGAGAACTAGTTAAAATGCAAATTCTCAGGTCTCATCCCATCAAAAATTCAGGGATGAACCCCAAAAATCTGTTTTAAGAGGCCCTCTCTAGGGAATTCTGAGGTATGTTAAGGCTTGAGAACTACTCTTCTATGCAGTGCTTTCTGAAGCACAGATAGTGGGGATAAGACCAGTTAACATCATCTTTTCTGCCTCTATGCCTTTGTGTTCATATAGGTTGGCTTTGGCTGTAACCTGCAATGGACTGAATGCCTGTGTCCCCCCAAAACCCGTATGTTGAAACCCTAGTTCCAATGTGATAGTATCTTAAAATGGGGACTTTGGGAGGTAATTGGGACACAAAGGTGGAGCCTTCATGAATGGGAATAGTGTCCTTACAAGAAGAGGCCAAAAAGCCAGCTCACCCTCCTTCCAACATGAGGAGACAAGAAGTTGGCTATTGGTACCTGGAAGAGGCCCTCACCAGAACCCGACTGTACTGGTACCCCCATTTTGGACTTCCAGCTTCCAGAACAGTGAGAAATAAAAGTTTGTTGCTTAAGCCATCCAGTCTATGGTACACTTGCTATAGCAGCTTGAGCTGACTAAAACACCACCATCCATGCAACCAACTCCCTATAACCATTTACCTTTATCTTAAACCTACCCATCCTTTAATCTGCTGCAAAAATCCCACTTTCTCTGTGAAGTCTTCACTGAAAACTTCTCTTCACAATGGTCTCTCTCACTCTGAGTTAAAGCATTTATGGCAAATATATACATTTTAGCACTATATTATTTCATCAATTAGAGTTTTATCTCTTCACCCAGATTCAAGCCTCATAAAGACACTGGTTTTATACCCAAAACTTCTACCAGTGAACTAAACATATTCTGATTGACTTGTCTGCTCATACATGGGTAGGCAAACTCTTTTTAAAAAGGATGCTTTGCCAGAAAGTTGGGTAAGCAAAAGTGAGGATTCAAAGATATAAAATGAAGACGTTTCAAAGCACCCTCCCCCTGCCTTGGCTTGGTGTTTGGAACATCTCATAACCATAGGATGTGTAAAATCCTTCAGCCTGTGCTTGAACTTTGGCCCAACCAAGGCTTCCCATGTAAAACTCTGATAATGTAACTTGAAACAGAGTAACTCCTTGGGCAGTTGGTGGGGTAGAGTTAGCTGAACTCTTCAGCTAGAGGAATCAAGTTCACCAGTTCTGAGCATTCCAGGAGTTCTGAATTATTTTCCGTGATTTTTCTGGCTTTTGCAGTAATTCCAAATATGATGCCAAAGAAAGAATCTAATAGGTGTGCCCCTTGGACTGAAAAACTGAAGCAAATCCTCACATGGCCATCCCTACTTCCATCCTAAACCCTGAAGGCTGACTTCTAGAAGCTCCCTTGGGGGTCAGTAGAAGAAAAGCAGCTAGCTGGTAGTAAGTTGTATATTAAAACTGACTTGGTCTGTGAACATTTCCTACCTATATATTATGCTTGAGTTGAGTGCTGCTTTAAGGATACATTTAATGAACTGAAAGATCCAGTTTGGCTGGAGTGTAGGAAGGGAGGGGGATCTTTGAGAAACAGGCTGAAGAAAGAGACAAGAGCTAGATCATGGAGGGCCTCATTATCCCAAGGTGGGAATTTGTACCCATTGAAGAGTTTAAGGCAGAGGAATTTCCTGATTTGGTTGAAGGATGGAGAATGAATTGGAGGTGGTTAGTGTTTTTGCTCAGCCCTTCAGTCATGTAATAAAACAAAATAATTTGAATGTCATTTCATACCACTGTTTCTGAGTACCTGGTTATAAATAAAATCTCTCATTTACCAGATGGAAAGCTGTTTGTTGAAATGTACCTCAGTACTTGGATCGTTCAACTCATCACAGATTTTGAAATGTACAGTAGAATGACTCACTATGAGGAAAAATAAAATAGTACAAACATTCCTCAATCACCAAGCTCTGAGTAATAAACGCATTGAGGAGTCTGTGCTGGGCATATGGAGAAGCATATGTTCCCTCATCCTTTGAGCTGGTGGAGCTGTGAAAGTGAGATGAGCTGCACAAAAAAATGACAGAAAGGGAGATTTTATATATATGTATGTATGTACCAAATATGTACATGTTGAATTCTACTATAATACAAAGAAGAGAATGAAAATTTATAAATCCAGTAGAACTCATAAAGCTTATACTGAGAGACAGAATGAATTTATAGCTGGATTGTATTAGGCTTATAGTCTAATAAGTGCTATATTTCTGGGTCATGAATTGGCCTGAAAAAATTTTCAAATCCAGGTAGTAATGGGGTTCAAGCAGTACTGGTTTATGAAACTAACAAATTATTTTTATAGCATCATTGGGAAAAATCTTAGCTGTCTTCAGGTGAGTTTATTTTATAAAAATTCATCAATTAGTCCACTTATAATTTCCACAGGTTTTTGGTATGTACTCATACTGCAATAGAAAGTTAAAAAAATCTTAGCTGTATCAGTGTATACTGTCCTGACATCCAACTCAATTGTGAATAAGGCCCAGGCCAAAAGAAGTCTCTCTGGTAGGTTTAGACTGTGATATAAGCAGCCTTACTGCTCAGGCCATACGACTCACCATATATGCACCATGGCATTCATTGATCCTTTCATATATATGTCGTGCAGAAGCTGCCAGACTAGTAGAATATAGGAATGGACTCTGAAATGCACAGCTTGGGGATGACAACTAGCAGTGTTGGGGCACTCTCTGTCAAGATTTGATATTTGTGTTGAACCAACAGTCATTTTATGGTACTGTGACTCCCACAGATTAACTACACAGGTCTGGGAGCTAATGGGTGAAAGTAGAAGGTGTTCCCCTTGCCAAAGTGCCTGATGAACCACTTGGTAAATATGTAAATATGTGCTTTCCATCATCATAACTATAGCTTCTGTGGGAGCAGAGGTTCTAGTTTCCATGGTGGGATGGGGTGTGCACACCTCTACCAGGGGACCAGTTAGGATTTCACTACATCTGGTCATTTTTGACTCCCCATGCCAGCAGTATCATCGGGCAAAGAAAGGAGTCACTATATTGGCAAGGGTGATTAATCCTAATTATTATGAGGAGCTAGGGTTGCTGCTGCATAAAAGTAGCATGGAGGAGTATCTGTAACTCAACAGATTCACCAGTGCATCTCTTGGTGCTTTCATAACTGATAATAACCCTTTTAGAGGAGACTGCAGCAACCACAGTCTGGTAAGGGAATGGTAACTGGGGGCTCAACCCTTTGAAGATGAAGGTCTCAGTGACTCCACTGGGCAAGCAATATAAATCAGCAGATGCAATGGCCAATGGTAAGGGTAAGATGAAATAGGTGGTAGAAGAATGTAATGATGAATACCATTTTCAGACTGAGAAATAACTGCAGCAGGGGGTACTCTAGCCTGTCCCACTGACTCTAATGTAATTAAACTTTGAAGAATCAACGATAGGACTCAGAAATTTATCATAGGAAATGAGTGGATCTCAGTGGAGCAAGCAGAACATAGCAGATGTTGTCAGAGATTCCACATCAACTTGCCCTTACCTCTCAGTTCACACAGACTGACTTACCTCTGTGAGAGCCTGTGTTTCTCTACCTTCCAGCAAAACATGCTGTAAGTGTCAGGGAACTGATACCCCAGGAGCAGCCCTCAACCAATGGCTGATCAGAGTTGGTATATAAATACCTCGGCATCCTTGCTCCTTTGGCAAGATAACTCTGAAATATATATCTTACGCTGCTTCTCAGAATTTCATTGGAAGGTTTAAGTTCAAGTCACTCCTGTGGTAGTTGGCTTGATTACACAAATCTGTATTTGCTGTCTTCCTTTCGTTTTCTCACTTACACAATCCCTTCCAGTGTTTCCTCTACTTACAAAATAAACTAACTTGGATCC